GTTCAAACTTGAACTTCGATGAAGTTAACTTATGATAAGAGACCTACTGAATTCAGCTTTGTACCAGGAGACAAGGTATGGTTGTATAATCCCATGAAGACAAAAGGGAAGTCTCCTAAGTTGTCTTCTCCAAGATACAGGACAGTTTTAGAAACGTGGCGTGACACTAGTCATGTGATCTCGCTGACGCAACAGTTCGTTGTTATAGCGTTTGTTTTAGTGCGAATGTTGAAATTAACTGTATCGTAAAGTTATATTCGGAAAGAATAAACCAGTTTTATTAAGTAAGGACTTGTGTCGCTAAAGTTTCGTCGGAACAAAGTTACGGAAAATTAATTAACAAATGGAGACGTAACACCGTAATTATGAAGCCTTTCCTCGCAACGCCCGTCATTCTCGTACAATATATTAAACTTAAGGAACCTCAGATCTTGAGTTTAGATACTAGACAATGGCTTATGCCGATTTCACAGTGTTTAATATTATTTTCATTTTAACAAATTGAACATTACGTATGCTATACTATATATTCAAAAATCAATATTATTGATATATTACGTAACCATATATATATAAGTTTTACCACGATATAATATGTTGCACTTCATTATTTTTCCACAGCTGTTTTAAATTGGTCGACTACAAACTATCAATCCCTTCTATGGCAACAGAGATGTGAAATGCGTCACTCGCCGATTCGTTTTCATTGGAAGTTGTGGCATGACGTCATAAGATTTGACGCTCCACCACACAGAATCGCAGAACAAATGGAGTGGAAGATTGGGGGCTATCCGTTCATTAGTATGTTTACTGAGTTAAGCTTATGGTATTGTAAGATAATAACAATAAGATATCCGGTTCTATTCATTCTCATTCCGGCAACTGCTCATTACGTATAAATCTTTGATTTTGTTCTTTTCATGATGAGTAAAGGCAGCATCCATGTCTCAAAATTGGAAAAAGGTCAACAATATTATGATTATGATGGAAAGATAGTTGGTTTGTATGACTTAGGAGGTACAATAGGTCGCGGCCATTTTGCAGTTGTTAAATTGGCAAAACACGTTTTTACGGGAGAAACAGTTGCCGTGAAAGTAATCGACAAAACAAAACTCGACGAGATTTCTCGCACACACCTGTTCCAAGAGGTGCGATGTATGAAATTGGTACAACACCCTAATGTAGTAAGGTTGTACGAAGTCATAGACACGCAAACAAAACTTTATTTGATTTTGGAGCTGGGAGATGGTGGGGACATGTATGATTATATCATGAAATATGACAAAGGAGTAAATGAAGAAACAGCAAGAAAGTTTTTCCGGCAGATTGTACATGCTATCTCATATTGCCATAGGCTTCATGTTGTTCATCGCGATTTGAAACCAGAAAATGTAATATTTTTCGAAAAACTTGGAATGGTCAAATTAACAGACTTTGGTTTTAGTAATAGGTATTATCCAGGACAAAAGCTAAAAACATCTTGTGGATCTTTAGCCTATTCTGCACCAGAGATTTTGTTAGGTGACTCGTATGATGCACCAAAAGTTGGTAAGTTGACCAAATGTGTTTTAAAATTATATTTTTAGTTTTCGCTTGTTTGTTTTAAACTAGTACCATAATACATTGTGGTTAATTCTGATTTTGAAGTTTGAAAACAATTATCAGAACAATGTTTACACTACAATGTGTTTTTCTTTTAATTTAATGTTGTTCATTAGTTAAAGTTTTAACACTAAACACCATTACTTTGGAGTTGTCATGTCATAACCAGCAATGTAAAATTGATATTATCTCCAAATTTATCAAAATATGGCTAAAAGACTGCAGTGTGAATATTAAAACATCTTTATTTCATTATCTTGTAAGTGAAAAAATTTTAATAATGCTCAAAACTGCACATTTCAGCTGTTCATAGATCTGAGAAGTTTGGATGTGTTACCCTGATATTGATACATGATAATCTATCATGTTAAACTTAAAGAATGCTTCCAAATACTTATGTAGGAGAATTAAAATGTTTTCATTGTCATTGATTCTGTGTTTAATGCAGCATAGGGATTGTTCATTTTGAAGGGAATAGATATTTTGCATAGACATTATTATCGATTCATAGGTGTTAATATAGATAATATTGTTCTGGAATATGTTATCTATTCATAGGTGTTAATATAGATAATAGTGTTCTGGAATATGTTATCCATTCATAGGTGTTAATATAGATAATATTGTTCTGGACTATGTGTTAGTTCCTGAATCCATTATTTTATTGTGTGAGACACCAAAGTTTAAAGATTTAACAAAAATATATCAAGAAAGTAATGTGAAGAGTAAAAGCTATAAAACTCTTTGGTCAAAATATCATTTGACTTGAATTGTTAAATGTATATGTAACAGAAAAAAAAGATATATATATAAGCTAATCTGCTTTTGAGGGATTCAAGTTTTAACATTATTAAATGTAAGATTGATGTTTTAAAGTGTATAATTTGTGTATAGGAAAGGAAGAATTTTTGTGTGGGTTTAGAAAATTAAACAAAAGCTCTGACCCTGAAAAAGTGTGTGTTTATGTTCTGATGATAGAAAGACTGATTTCCATTGTGGGCTATATTTTTAAAGTGGGATTTTGAAAGTCTCAAACTTTAGGAAAATTGATTGAGTGAATCTGTCTTCTTGTCATGATAGTTTAGAAATAACTTTTTGAGGTTATGGGATTGTTTTTTAACTCAACATGTATTTTAGAAACTGTTCTTATGTATGAGGATGTATAAAAACACTTCAGTATATATATTGACAGTTGTAATTCTAAAACCATCTTCATAGTTAATAAGTTTCATGTGATCTACTTAGGAAGATGTCTATTGAAGGTTGTAAGGTTTTTATATATTGAAATTGACCAAGCTAGCCTAAAATGAATCCATCCTTTCTAAAATCTTGTGTTTTTACAAAACACATTTTGAAATTAATGAATAGTAGAATCAAAATCATTCATAAACTGATGTAACAAATGGTTTAACATAGTGTTCCAACCACTATTGTGGCCCAGCTGGCCAGATGAGCTCTGGGTTGAGTGAAACACATTGTCAGCAATGGGTATGGTGGACATTTTTCTTGAACAATCCTTATTAACTGTATAAATAATGTTCCAAGCTTCATATGTGGGGGTTATGCAGTCCTTCACACGGCATCTGGATTTAATTTCTAGGTTTGCCATGGACCTGTTTCAATCTCTGCGTTGTCCAACAGTGGACATTTATCAATGGAAATGGCACACATACAGGCAATGATGTATTGTGAGAATGTTAAACCTACTTCGGCCAGACGTGCCAACCATAGCTTGGTTTTTGACTTGGCTCTTTTATAATGGTTTTGCATCTTCCTCTCCTTACCTATATAAGAAAACCATATCAGCTACCTTTTGATACTCTAAGAGACAGAAATGTTTTGAGTCCCCCGTGCTCTCCAGTCCTCTCAAATCATTTTGGGTCCTTCATCCCAAAACGACCATCCCAGATATCTAACTGAGATATAAAGGTGGTGTTACTTGCTTTTCCTTGACATCTGTTTGAGCCCTTAGTCTCATGTAACATGTATCACCTTTCCCTTACGGTTTGTTTTTAGTTGCTGCTGCCCCGCAGACATCGACAGTCGGAGTTGTTTGCACGTCACAGGATGCTTCATCATTCTGACATGAGACACTGGCAGCCAGAGAAGGGGATAAATCCTATTCACCTATTCATCTGAAAAATATTTCTCACCTCTATGACCAATTGGATCCCAATATATTGTAATGTCCAGTGAGGGCCTTGAAGTGTTATGTTACCTGCACTCAAACTGTTAGACAATGGCTTTTTTATTCATTGGGACCCTTCAGTTTCCTGGGATTTATCCCTGGGTACTTTGATGGGGGTGGGTACATAAATTGATCCACATTGCTTATTCTGGGCACTTTTTGGAGGTGAGGAGACTTCTGCAAGTCACATCTCATCATATTTGTCACATTTCCATGTCCCTTGTGGCCCAGTTGAATTGCCCACTGGAGGACATTGTGAGCTGGTATATGGTAAGTCAAACATATGTAAAAAAATTATTTACATCCAAACTCTAAATAATTTGCTTTTTTTGTCAAAAGTCTACACAGGCTGATTCAATTATTTTAGAATTGTATTGACAAGACAAATTATTTTTCTCAATCTTCTTTTTTCACATTACAAATTGGTGAATAATTCACTCATCTTACCCCCTGGGTTACCACAGTTGTATCCTGAATTTCAAATAATTGTCTCCTTTTCGTCAAAGTCTACACAGATGAGTTCAGTTACTTTAGAACACCCTTTGACAAGACAAATTATTCTCCTTATCTCTACTAAACTGGGAAACACCTTAAAATATCGCCCGTTATGGCTAGTCACTCACACGGCAGCTAATTTCATGGTGTTTTTTTTTTTTTTCACTAACTAATTTTCTGAACTGCACTTTTTCTCTACTTTACATGACTTGCACTTGCTTGGTCGCCTATATTTATACATTGTTCACTGAGGCCTCGAACTTTCTGTAAATTATGCGAGCAATGATTGAACAATACTCAGTTAAAGTAGCGAAAAAATACTGAAGATTCAAGTAACATGATTTCAATGATATTATTAAAGCCTAGACAACTATGTAATTGGAAACACAACATATGACTCATACAGAGTTATGTAATGAAATTTGTCACACCTAACACTTTTAAAGCAATCAGTCTTCAACACTCTTAAGAACTAAAAAAATCATTAAATAAAGTAAACTAATTAATACCATTTACACTAAACAGTCTTGTATATCCAACAGGGAAGTTGGGGCCCTCCTACCTGGGTTTCTGTTTTTTCCAAGATGTACTCTAGTGGTTGTTTTTGTATATCCTTAATCCACTCTACAAAGCAAGTTAGGTACATGTGTTTAAGGAGGTAACTTGTATAGGAGCATATATGTTGTGTTATGATACTGGGTATATGTTAATATCTGTTTATGGTGATATTATGTGTGGTACTGAAACTTATGGTGGCATGATGATGTGAAAATAATGATTTCATTATTGTAAGTCAAACCAAAGTTCAGGTAAGTTTGGAAGACTTGTGTAACTTGGGGACTTGTATTGATGGTAGTGTGATGGTTATAAAGCGTACATTCTGAATGGCCTGTCTGTTTCTCTATAGCAAAATGGAAGAGAAGTACTTATGTGTTATTGTTCCCCCTTACCTGAATTGGACAGTGTAGTGAGTGTCCTGGAATGGGAGGTGTTGAAGCTTTGTGAAATGTAAATGTGTTATCTTACTTACTATAAAGAACCTGTTTTCATACTACTGGGAAACCTTAACAATGTCAGACATAATCTTCTTAGTTTGTAAACTTTATAACAATTAGACCAAGTTGGCATATTGGTTGATAAATGTGTATTATTAGATGGGGATCAAAATTAAATATACCTAACCTGAAATATTAATCAGTATAGAGTAATGGTATTTTAATAAAGTATATTTTTGTTTGCATAAAAGGTGAAATTTAGAACTAGTGTAAATAGTGAGAGAGGTAGTTATACTTTTGTTTGGTGTTTCTTGTTCGACCGAATAATCTCTGAACAAAGACTTCTAGTTGGTGATAACTTGAATTATTCTAAGCATGTAAAGCAGTCATTTCTTAAGACAGAAACTTAAATTTGATTACAAACTGTTTGCTCAAAAGAAAAGAAGTTGCATGTTTATTTGTGCCTAAGTTTTGACAAGTTTCTGTTTTAATAATCAGTGTCCTGTAATACAGTAGTGATATGTTCAGAAACCTACATATGCAAGCCTAAAAAGAAAAAGACTTTTTATGCAAGAAAATGTAGTCGAGGATGAATGTGGTTAAATAAGCTGTTCAGATATCACAAATTAATTCAGTAGAGCTGAGCAACTAACTCTGTTCATCAATTACATTGATGAGTATCACCTAAAATAATCAACCAATCTAAATTAATGTTTCCAGTTATTATTGTTTTTGATTATTCTGACTAACCAAGTAATCAAATTATTACCATAGTGATTTCTCATTATTTTTAATTCATTCAGAGTTAAGTTTAGTCAATTAGTGTCATAACTCGTGAAAATGGTCAACTAATTATAATTAGTATTTCCAGTTATTACTATTTCAACTAACCATGTCTCATGTGAGAACAGTCACTAGTTTAAAGTAATTGATTAATGAGCCTGTGTGTTAATTGAATAGCAAATTCAACTAATCTCCTAGCTCTAGTTATCAGTACTGAAAAGTTAAACTCTGATAATCACGTGTACATCTGTATAATGGCCTGTATGTTGTATTTGATTTTGGTTCATGTTAGGACAGATTAGGTTTGGGGAAGGGCATACTTTTTCTTTGTCTTCATGGTCTAATCTTTCTTTTATCAGCAAAATGTTTTCTTGTTTGTTTCTGCTGAAGGTACATTTGAAAGAACTTAGTTCTATCTTTGACATTGACTTTACCAGTTATATTTACACATTGTTTCAGCTATGATCTGAAATGGGTTATGTCAATATGATTTCTCCATGTAGTCCACAAGTCTGCTGTGTTGTGTAAGTTACAAGACAATAATACAAGTTTCACTAGCATACTTTACTATAGTTTGTTTGGATCAACCTTTGTCCAGTGTATTACATACGTGGGTATTTTCCTGTGGTAGTCTGACTTTTCGATCTAGTAGAATATATTGTAAGGTGTGTTTTTTGTTGCATAATAATCACTTCCTTTCTTATGTATTATATTGTCAGGTGTGTTTTTATTGCATAGTAATCATTTCATATTGTAAGGTGTGTTTTTATTGCACAGTAATCACTTCCTATCTTATGGAGTATATTGTAAGGTGTGTTTTTTGCATAGCAATCACTTCCTATCTTATGTAGTATATTGTAAGGTGTGTTTTTTATTGCACAGTAATCACTTCCTATCTTATGTAGTATATTGTACAGTGTGTTTTTTTTAGCAAAGTAATCACTTCCTATCTTATGGAGTATATTGTAAGGTGTGTTTTTTATTGCACAGTAATCACTTCCTATCTTATGTAGTATATTGTACAGTGTGTTTT